CCAGGGATGCTCAGAGCTTGGGCCCTTACCACCCTCAAATGGGTAGACCCCCAGGAGTTTGCCAGTTCCTGGGAAAAGTGAGGCCATTTGCTTCAATACATGATATCCTCAGGTGCTGCCCCACTGATTCTCTCCAGATTCCTTGTTTTCCATGGGGAGCCATAATTATATGGTGTTGGGTAAATGGCTGCATTTCATTCAGTTTCATTTATTTTCATTCTGTTTCTTCCTCATTCCAAGAGGCAGAGCTGGGGTCACCAGAATCTGACACCTCTGTCTTGGGTTTCTGCTCCCAGCCTCTATGCCTCCCACAGCCCAGCAAGGCAGCCCTCTAACCTTCCCGGTCTATATGATCATGGGGAAGGTCCCTCTAAAGGTCAGCATCGCACAGCACTCCTGCTAGTTGCTGAATCCTGTTAACTGTATGTACTAAGTTTCTCAGATCTCTCCCTCCCCCTTCTCTGTCTCTTCACTGCTAGTGATTTAGTTTCTTGTTGAAACAGCCTCCCTGTTGTCCATCTCCTCCTATCTTGTCCCCTTCCAATCTGTCTTCCTCCACACCTGAGGAAGCAAGAGAGATCTTCCTAACGCTCCACATCTCAGCACATCAGGTTGCTAACTCAGCCCTGGTACAGCTCCCCGTGGTCCTCAGGATAGCAGCCTAGTGTAATATACCCCGCCACGCGTTGCACCTGGCCAACTTGCTCTTTCTCCGTGCCACACTATATAACACATCCACCTCTCTTTGGCCACACGCAGCTACTCAAAGTTGTCCGAGATGCCATCCCCCATTTGGCCTCATGGACTCTTCACAGGTGACGTTCTCTGTGTGGTCACCTCCTTCCCGTATCTTTGCCTGGCTAATCGCTACTGTTCTTCAGAACTGATTCCAACTCTTCTGTGAAGCCCTTCCTGATCCCTTGTCCACCTGAGACCTGCTCAGCATGACAGAGACTCTGCTACATGTTCACCAAATCTTTTTTCATTTTCTTCTTCTTAGGCACTTGGAAAAGACAGCATTTTCCAGGCTTCCTCACAGTTAAGTTGAGTCCACCTGACTGTGTTCCTGCCAATGTAGGTGGAAGTGATGCGTGCCATGTCTGGGCCTGCTCATATATCAAAAATCAATTACACAGCCCTGAAATCCAGTCATTAAGGATTTGGCTACTAATCTCATTCCATTTTTGTCTTTAGGAAGATACTGCAGCTTGCAACTTTGCAGATACCAACAGAGGAAGAAAAACATGGGAGACTGCTGATAACCTAATGTGAAGAATTAAACTCCAACTAGACAAAGGCAGAATCTTAATATGGAGTGGTCTGGCTCTGCGGGGAGGTCACCTGGGCTGGCTGGATTTCAATCCAGTAACATGGAAAAAGTTAGGACCCAAGTTTTGCAGACGCTGAGCCTTCTACTCTCAGGAATTCCAAATATTTGTTAAATTCCACCTCATCTTCCTAGTGCTTGCCAAGATCTGCAATTATTTTAGTTATTTATTAGCTTACTGATTAACTGCTCCTCTCTTCAACTCCCCTTCCCCCAATGTAAGATGCAGGAGGGTAGAGGCTTTGCACTGTGTGACGTATAGCTTACGTGCATAGCACAGTGCCTGATCCCTTGTCCACCTGAGACCTGTTCAGCATGACAGAGACA